CTACCAATCTTCCCTTGTGTGTCCCAGGAATCCCTCCGATCCTTGCCTTCATCTTGTCTGTGTCTGAGCTGTCTGCCCATCTGGCACTACAGCGCTCCTGTATTTTCTCTCAGGCACAACAGCTAGGCTTCAAAACTCCAAATTTTAGGGATCCAGTGTGACAAGGACCTGAACTTAGCCTCTGGGGGAAGGTCTTGCCACAATATGGCTGGCGCTGATTTGTCCCAGATGGGCAGTTGCCAGAACATGCAGAGGTGTAGAGTTTATGTTAAAGCACAGCAAAAGCCAATGTCCAGATTAGTTGCCCTTAGCAGGCATCTCTGCTCATATGCTAATGAACAGGGCAGCTCAATGGTGCCTGCCAGCTGTTTTGTCCCCTGAAAGGCAGTGCCACCTCTCCCAAATACACTCCAAGAAGGGGAACTATCTCTCCCAGTGCCACCCAGGGGATCCTCAGAGCACACTCTGCTCCTGAGCCTCTACCCTTCTTTTCCACAGGAGCACCTGTAAGCTCACAGCTCTGTCTGGTGATGGCATGGACTTCTAAAACTTCAGTCTTTGTGCTCCACTGCTTGTAAAAACTTGCAGTAATCAGGCTTTCTTGTTTTTCCCATCAATGGTTTGGGGAAGTGTTTTTCTTGGGCAATGCCCTTCTCTGTTCCCCACTTCTTCAGTCTCTCTCTCTCTCCCTTCTTCCACATCAGGGTTTCCTCTCCTCCACAGTACTAGTGATTATTTTCTCCTCCAAATCAGGTCTCTGCATCTCCTACCTTCCATGATGTGGCCTCTCTTCTCCCTCTAATTGCAGTTTGTTTTCTCATTCCTCAGTTTATTTCCTGGGTGTTCAAAATGATTTGATATTCATCTAGCTGTGTTTGATGGACAAGGCAAGCATAGGGTTCTCTTACTACTCCACCATCTTAACTCCTCTCCCTTGTTTTTCTTTTTAACCTCCAGACAAGCATTCCATGAGCATCACAGTGGTATAAATACATCTAGAGCTATGTTTTCTAAACTATTCTGTGGAACATCAGAATCCCACAAGATATCAGTAGATATGGTGCTGTTTTAAAAAGTATATTTGAAAAACTTTCATTTCAGTCCAATTTGATAACAGTTTTCAAGTATTTACTAAGAGTCAGATGATGTATACAGCACTGGGGTTGCATTTGTGAACAGATAAGAATATATACAAAACCAAGAGAAATATAGTGTTCACCTATACCTCCATTTAAAACCAGATTCTGAGACTTCTAGAAGTGAGGATTCTATCTAACTTTATTTAACCCATTTTTTTCCAAACTTATTTGAATATGCTCTCTCTGAACGCTCTACAGATTTCTATTTTTATGAATTCATGATATCTCCAGCTGTGAAAAAATTTTAAATGGATCTGTAAGATTCCCATCTCCTGGTGTACACCTTTCTTCTCCCAGTTATTCAAGCACTGATTTATGTGCTGTTGTAAGGGAATTTTGCAGATATACTTAAGGTCTCAAATCAGTGAACTTTAAGATGGGGAGATTATCCTTGGTGGGCCTATTCTAATCATGTGACACCTTTGGAAAGAACTGGGCTCTACCTGGAGAAAGAGAGATTCAAGAGAGATTTGTTGGGAGGGCAATTCTCCACTGCTGGCTATAGAGATGGAATGGGCCACGTGCAAAGAATGGGGATGGAATTTAGGAGCTGAAAGAGAGGTCTGCGACAGCCAACAAAAAAACAGGGACCCCAGTTCAGCTTCAAGGAGCTGAGCTCTGGGGTGCCTGGGTGGTTTAGTCAGTTGGGCACCTGACTCTTGATTTTGGTTCACATCATGATCAGATGGTAAGATCGAACCCTAAGTTGGGCTCCCTGCTTAGCTCAGAGTCTACTTGAGATTCTCTCTCCCTCTCCCTTTGCCTCTCCCCCTGCTCACACACACTCACTCTCTAAAATAAATGGATACATACATACATACATACATACATACATACAATCCTAAGTGAGCTTAGGAGATGATCACTACCGTCAGATGAGAAAGCTGCTCCAACCAACACCTTGATTTCAACTTAAGAGATCCTGAGGAGAGAACTCAGACATGACACAGACAGAATTGTGAACTAATAAGTGGTATTTGCTTTATGGTGCTAACTTTGGTAATTTGTGGCAATTGAAAATTGATACACTAGTGTTTGTTTTATGGTGCAAGTAAAGCAGGAAGAAAAAATATATGAGCACCACGGTTCATTGCATCTCTACTTACAATTAGGCTAGATTTCCAAGGCTTTACTAAGCCTATTTCTTTTCAAATCTGAAGTGACATGCACATCACTAGCAGGACCTCTCCAGAATGGAAAGTCAATGATGCATGTTTGCTTTCATGCATTTCTTATTTGTATTCATAAAAGTGACGCTGAGTTGAAAATTTATTCATATAAGGATTAAGTAGCTGCAGCTTTGTCTCATGGCTCCTGAAGCTTTTGCAATTTGCTATTGTACATCTGTTATTCCCCAGACATTTTCTCAAAGGAAGAAACATTCTTCATACCCCCATTCATTAGTCATCATTCCCCAGACTCCAAGGAGTCTGCAACTCCTTGTATGGTATTTATAGATATGACTGCCACAGCACTTGAAGCAGTGTGTCATTGATTATTGAACCACCCTTCTGCTAAGAGTCTCACCGTTCAGTCTGTAATAGTGTGAGTTTGTGTACATCTCAGTAGTAGGATATGATCTTCCTGTCACTGATTTTCTTCATTTGTCCTACTCAGAGGAACTCTGCTGTGATGGGAAGATAGATTTCAAAGCTTGTAAATCTCCTTAAGTTCTAGCTTTTCTTCTTTGTTTTTGTTTTTCAATGACTTAGAGACATACTAAGATTCTCTGAGAAAAGGAATGTTCAAATAAATGAAGAATGAATAAATGAGTGAATAGATGAATGTATGAATAATAAATCAATTTAAGAATTTTAATGTGCATTCAGTGGAAAAGCAATCTGGATCTGAAAAAAAAAAATAGTGCCCTAACGTTAGAAGGCATGAGTTTGAGATGACTGCTGTTATATCAGAGAAGTGATTTAATCATCTCCAGTCTCAGTTTCCTCACCTGGAAAATGTGCTGAATTTTACCAAGTAGCTCTAAGTTATCCTTCACTTCTGATTTTAGATTTTAAGCTATTTAAGAGGCAGTAATATTATACTACATGGAGCTTATGTTTGTTATTATATTCTGACACTTTAGCTTTTGTCCATTGGAAGACATGCTGCCTTTCCACAGCCGGTTGTCTAGGTTCCTTTTAATCAGTCAATGCACACATTTTCAATATTTCCTATACTCAACAGAATTCAGATCTCTCAAGTTCCACTAGATTTATTAGGCAAACGTATTACTTTGGTCAAAACTATCATCTTCTTAAGTATTTAGGTCCATACACTGTATCTTTTGTGCTTGCATTTACATATAAAATATATTTATGTTCAAAAGAAAAAATTCCTATAAATCAACTAATATCTATTTAAAATTACATTCAGTGCAAAACATTGCACTAAACCTTGTGAGGAAATATGAAAAATACTTTCTACCCCCAAAGCTAAATGAAAGGGATAAATAAAGCTGACTACAATGGCAAATTGCAGAGAAGGTGCACTACAAAATGAGTTAGATAACCAGGACCCATCCTCTCAGTCTCTGTATGGTATAATATCTCTGTATGGTATAATATCTCTGTATGGTATAATATCTTCCTCTCATGGATTTATAAAATTCCCACTCTTTACCACGTATCTTATTAAATGTTGATGATAAAAATATGAACAACGCTAGTCTAGCCCATTAAGGAGTTCACAGTTAAGTTTAGATTAATATACATGCAAACAAATACTTGACACAATGTCATTAGCACTATTGTTAATCATATGGTTCTAGAAAAAAAATGCAGAGTTATTTTTTTCCTCCTAAATTGTGGGAATTTCCTCTAACCTTCATGTGATAAAAATATAATATATATATATATACCATCCCATTTGAAGTAGTCTTGTCAAATGAATTTAACCAAAATCTAATCAAGTCTTTGGATATTTTTAACCTTACAGGAAGTGAGAGGGATAGATGAAAGAATTAGTGAAACTGTAAGAAAGCACTGAGACAAGCAATAAGGTGGGGTGTTCTAAAGAACAACGGGTTTGATGTCTACAAGTCAATGTCATTAAAAATAAAAGGAAGCAGGACTCTTCTTTTAGACTGAAAGACTTAGAAGATATAACAATCAAATATACTACATTGTTCTTGATTATGTCCTGATTTGTACAAACCATTATTAAATATAATGCAGACAATAGAGTGAGTTTGAAGATGGACTGGATAGTAGGAGATACTGAAGAAATATTGTTAATTTTTAGGAGTGTTATAGTATTGTGGTTATGTGGGAAAAACTCTGTTTATAATAGTGATTTAGTGAAAAATCATAATGTCTTATTTCACATTAAAATATGGCAGCAAAATGAATGAAGCAAAATGGCAAAAATATTAACAATTGAAAAATGATGTGATAAATACAAGGGTGTTCTACTCTACCACTCTAAATTTCTATGTATCTGAAATATTTCATAATAAAGACTTAAAAGACAAAAAGTAAATGGGATATTAGATTTGAAATCACTTTGTAAACTCTAAAAGGATAGATAGAGAAAAGAGAGAAAAAGAGGAGGAAGAAGGAATGGTGTTTTTTCAAGCATGTATGCTACTTTGGACCACACTGCTAAGAGAAGTCAGACCTGGCCACCACAGAGAACCAGTGCCTCCAGAAATAGAAACCAGGAGCATAAAAATATCATAGATTCTCAGATCCTGATATTTTTAACACCTCTTTCACACCAAGATGACCTTGATGAAAATTGAAGACAAATGTCTTCTTGCTGGGAAATGCAGACCAAAGCAACCTAATTTTATCCAAAAGAGAACCAGAAAGCCTTTAACTGTTGAAATGTAGAGTAACTGTTGACTTTTCTTTTTCTCAGAACAGTAGGATTTCGCACCCAAAATAGAGATTTGAAACCATGGATGATTGCCCTTCTTGCTGTGTTATTACTGACAGTGGTGGCAGTAACCATTGGTCTTCTGGCTCACTTGTTAGTCTCTGGTATGTAAAAATTATGGATTCCACTCAGTCTGATTTCATTTTTCTGCAAACCTTCATTTGTACATCTGTATACGTAATTTCATCCAAAAACAGATTTGTACTTACCAACAAATGCCCCCATTTAGAATTTTTTAAATTTATTCAATCATTTTATCAATAAATAATTACTGACTGCCTATTATATATGAGTACCTTTCTGGATGACTCAGGACACAGTATTAAGTAAAGCAGACCAGGTACCTATCTACCTAGAGCTCACAACTTAGTATCCTTTTGCGCCTCTACACAAAAGATCAAAAATAGTAACTGAAATTTATTAGCAATCATAATAAACAATTCTAGTCACTCAAGTGAATAACTCTGATAAATTAGTTATTAAAATTGGCTCATTCACTCATCATTCTATCCACCAACATTGCAAAGGCAAAAGAAAAACATATGTCTAATGAAATAATGAATTTTGAAATTAGTAAACTATAGATATGATAGAATTTTGCTACTTATTTTTAGAGAAAATTTTATTCTTTCCAAAATGATATTCAGCTATTTTTAAAAATTGTGTAAATAAATAAATAAAATTAACATATTTATAATCATGTAAATACTGCATTTCAGAATTCTGGTTTTTTTTTCAGAATTCTTTCTAAAATTGCATTTTTTGTCTGCACAGACTGCAAACCATTAGTATTTTTGGACAAATCTTCATAGCGCCACTCACACAGATGTATATGATAAAACAACTAGCTCAGGCTGCTTACTTGAATGGTTTCATCTATTGTCATCTTCCTCCGACTTGATGTGGAGTGATGAAGACTCCATTAGGAGCTTTCAAGGTTTTAAGAACACAGTTCTGGGCTTCCTATGACAATCCCACCAATGTCCAAAGACTCTTAGGTCACTTAATTTGATTGCACAAAAGCCCCTTTATTATGACTATAAAGTTTGATAACAATATGGATTGCATAGGTAAGTATCAGGGGGATCAAAAAAGCACTATAGAGTCTGGAGATGTCCCACACAGATGTACCATCCTGAGATCCCTCCTTCTTTCCTAGGTCCATAGCTGGGAAATTCATTTTATCTTCCCTGACTCAGGCTCCCCTGGGAGAGATACTGTTCTGTGGTTGCTCCATTCTCCATCATTCTCTATATTTAACTCTTTGTAGCTTTCTTGTCCACCCGCCTCCCCAAGGCCATACTCCTAAGATTACGAGATTTCTCAGGAGTCTCCACTGCTCTCTGTTTTCTTACCTTTCCCAGTAGTCAAGCAGAGATCTGATTGTTTCACCCCCATTACACAATGTTCTTACCTCTCACCTTAAACAGGTTGTTTCCCTTTCTTTTCCTGTCTTTCTTATTGGGCCTGGATCTCCCATTACAAATCAAAATTCACAAGGACACTCATTACTACTACTTCCAGTTGATTATAAGGGGGTATACATTTCATTGTCCATCAGCAAGGGACATAATAAGAATTAATTGAATTAATTGTTCCTGCTCTAGAACCACACTGTCTAGGTTTAAACTCAGGCAACTTACTAGTTATTATAGCATAGAGCAAGTTACTTAACACCTCTGAGTCTCACTTAACTTCATCTGTGAAATGGAGGTAACACCAATCTTAGAGAGCTAGAGTGAGTACCAAATAAATTAATACATGTAAAATACCCAGAACAGTGTTTGACAACATGGTAGACACTCAATAAATATCAACTATTGTTAACATAAAACATTAATTATTATTTTCATAAGTAGTATTACAAAAGTAAATTTTAAAAAATCTCAGTAATAATTCAACACTTTATGTTAACCCCATTATATTTGTGCCTTAGATCCTGAAAGCTATTCCCATAGCATGTGATTTCTTACTTTTCCTTGGTATCACAGGCCAGAAAATGGAGTATTATCATGGCACCTTTAAAATTTCAGATCTACGAGTTAATAGTCATTCTGAACAAAACAGCACATACCAACTTAAGGACTTACGGGAGATGAGCGAGAATATGGTAAGTCAAATGATATCCTTTCTGTTGTAAAATAATGTAGATGGAAGGGATTTGTGGATCATTTCACTCAATATTTCTCAAAAGATGATCTTCTGACCACTTGCATCCAAATCACCTTGAAGGTTCCTAAGCCCCCACTCCAGACCACTGAATCAGTATCTAATGGGATGGGTAGGCAGGGATGGGGGAGTAAAGGAATTTGTATTCTAACAAACAGGTATTCTGATAAACCACTCTTTCTAACTCAAACTCCTCATTTAAAGGTGAGAGAACTGAGGCCAAATGTATCCCAGCTTATGGCTTCCCCCATTGCCCCATAATATCATCCAAATGGTAAAGTTTAACCATATCAGAAGTGGTTATTTGTAAAACCACATGATTTATTTGTAGGATCCCATTTTAAGATCTAAAATATTTTTTAAATATATGAGAGAAAGAAAGATAATCACAAGTATTCATTTTATCTCACAGACATGCTAATAAGGATAAAATACCCATACCTATTGCATAATATTCTAATGCAATGCTAATAATTTTGTTAAAACTAAATACAAGACTACCCCCAAAAAGGAAAAAGTAAATTCAGTTATATAATAGTTCTGCTCAGGATGCTTGTGAACCATCACTCAAAAACTAAGCTCAATTTAACTCCTTTGACAAGAAAGCACAGTAATACAGTTATTTCAAAAGGGCGAAAATGGCAGGTGTATTGGTTTGGTTTAGTAGTCAAAGAATCTTTTTAGTTCAAAACATTTCCTTTCTTTATCTAATCGATTTTCATGTTTTCAAATCACCATCTGATCTTTACCCTTATGCATACTCAATTGCCCATAATTGCAATAATATCGAGTTATAACCTATAATTTCAGTTCTCACTAAATCATACAATTGTGTTCCATCTTGCAGTCTTGTCCCCCCAAATATTAATTAATGTTCATAGGCTGAAATATATCCTTCCATTCTTTTATATCCACAGCACCTTAGAAAACAGCATTTGCAATCATTTCTTGAGGAATGCCAAAAAAACCTTGGATACATACCCTAGTACTTCCTTTATTCCTCTAATCCTGAGTGACTACACAACTTCTTCAATGTAAAAGCAGTAATAAAAAAAGCTGTCTTTGATATACAAAGTCTTTGAACTTGAGAAGCATTTATAATAAATCAAGAAAGTTTAAAATCTGTTTTCTTTACATTTTATAGTCAACACTGCTGGTGTTTTAGGCTAATCAAGACACTGTCTTTTTTGCTTTTGTTTCTTTTGCCTTCGTGGATGTATCTTGCAAGAAGTTACTGTGGCTGAGTTCAAAAAGGGTGTTGCCTGTGTTCTCCTCTAGGATTTTGATGGAATTTTGTCTCACATTTAGATCTTTCAGGTCCACACATCTTTGCCAGCACTTGGTATTATCTGGCTTGTTGATTTCTGCCAGCCTAACAAGCAAGAAGTTATATTGTATTTGTGATTTAATTTACATTTTTTCTAATTACTAATGAGTTTGTGCACTATTAAATATACTTGTTAGCCCTTTGAGTTTTCATTTTTATAAATTGCCTATATCTAGCCTTTATCTATTTCTCTATTAGAGTTATTTTTTTACTTGTGTTATTTTTCAGGAGTTCCTTATATTTCCTAGATGTGAACAGTTTGCTGGTTGTAGAAACTAAAATTATCCATTCTGTTTTCTATTAATTTGGACCATGTTATCCTTCATGATATAGAAATTCATAATTTTGAAATAATCATCTTCATCAATTTTCTTTGCCTTCAATGTATCTAAAGTCCACCTTTGTGTATAATATTAGGTAGGGACCCATGTTTTATTTTCCATGTAAGTGAGCTACTTTTCCCAATTTAACTAAACAGCCTTCCTTCCCAATATATGGTATGATTGTTCAGCTCTTTACATTTCTTTGCACTTGAGTCTTGCAGAAAAGGAAACATGATCTATCTCCTCAAATTGCTTCCAATCTCTTTGGAGAGATGAGAGTGACACACCTGAAACTGAACAGCACGACATAATTAAGGACTAAATTGTATGTTGAGGACCTTAAGGGCAGAATGACTTCAAAGAAAGGGAAGTTCAACTAGGTTTGCCATAGTCAAGAAAGGCTTTGTATTATTTAGCCCTGTTTAAATGAGACAGGTATCGTTTTTCCTCCACTCACCCAGTCACCTTTAGAAGAACTACACAAAAGGTTCATGCCTCATCCTGAGCCACTCCTGTTTATTGTTGCTAAAATCCCAATGAATAAAACCCAGATTCCTGTCTCTGCCCTATATGAGTGCTAATTAGACAGCCAAGAAAGACAGGTTGCAGGTCCTGTTCTTCCTCATAATTTGGGATTTACTGATTTGAAGGCAAACAGAGATGCAAAAGTAAAATGAGTTCATGTTCAGATACTGCTAAAAGAACTCTGGAAACCAGACACCAGTAATTCATGACACTCCCAAAGAGGTAGTCATCTTCTTTAATTATTATAAGTTTGGGTGGGGTCACTGGCTGAGATAGTACTTTATTTGAAGAAACATATTTCAGAAATATCAGGAAATATTTTTAAACTATAGGGTCATTACAAATGTGAAAGTTATAAGCTTGTAATATCAGAACAATAAGTAATATGTGTTGAGTGCCAAGAACTACATTGAGCACCTTATATATATATTATTTTAGTTAATCCTCAAAAACAACTTTATGAGGTAAGTTCGATTAGTATCACAATTTTACAGATGAGAAAAATCAAGGTACTAAAAAGTTAATTTACTTAAGATCATACAGCTAGTAAATAACATTTAAGATTTGAGATTACATGTTCTTAATAAATTTCAGTCAATCCTAATACTCATCGGTGTGCTTTTACTCCTAACTACAATTCCACAAAATTCCAGATATCAAGTAATTATCCCTGGCACATTAGTCGCTTTCAATTACACTGTCAACATGGGCCAGTGACCATTGTTTGCATTAACAATACCCATAGTTGGGTATTTTCTTAAGGTTGTCTCTTCCAGAAAAATACTGTTCCTGTGCCCAAGGACACCAGAAAAGGGCCTAAAATGATTCTCAAAATATCCTTGATACTATGTGTCTACAACTGTAGAAACAAGGAACTTGGAAACAAAGAGATGCAAGGACATAAACCAATTAGAAACATTCTCTAAAAGAATTAGAAGACAAAAGTAAGAGATCTGGCTCTGATCAACACTGAGTCAGGAAGTGTTTCTACCAAGAAAAGTCAACTGAGTCAAGACAAACAAACTTAGCAAAGGTGTTTGTCTTAAAGTTTGGAGTTGCATAAGGTAAGAGAAGGAAAAGATGTTCCATGCTTGGTGTAGGGCTGTGATCCTATGCCTAGAGAGAAGAAATTGGATTTGGAAGATTTGAGAGAAAACTAAGCAGACATTATCAGGAAACTTCATGTTCAGAGGTAGAAAAATTGGATGCAGAGTACGGCTGAGTCCTTACTTGAGAACATGGACTTAAAATTTATTTTGTAATTAAAGATGAGGCATATCTGGAAGAGGAAGATGTGTATCACTGCACCTCTACCTTCAATGTGTTTAATGTGAATCCTGGAAGAAAAAGATAATTGTTGTATATCTCATGTCTAATCTGCAGTGTAACAATGCAAAGGAGGCATTATTATCTACACTTTGCTGATAAGAGAATGAAACCTCTGAAATTAAGGTCCTCAGCCAGTAAATGACAGGGGGAGATGTGAAGCCATAGAGGTAATTTGAACATGTGCTCTTTTATTAAATTGTTCTACTTGTCAGGAAGGAGCTCAGCTAAGATAGGAAGCTCAGTTCTACATCAATTCTTCTTCCATTCAATATTTAAATTTATTTTTTTCCTATTTTTTTAATTTAAATTTTGTTAGTTAAAAATTACATATGTTAAAAAATTACATATATTGTGCTAGGTAACTTTTACGTAAGCAACATGCCAGATTTATTTATTATAAGTATGTCCTCCAGTTTCCTCATTTCCGGATATCGGCTTTGTGTTCAGCTTTATTGAGATAATTTAGAGGTAACATTGTGTTATTGAATGGTATAAAACATGTTGATTTGATATACTGCAAAATGATTATCACCGTAGCACCTCCATCATGTCACATAATTACCCTTTCTTTTGTGGTGAGAACATTTCAGATCTTATTCTTTTAGCCACGTGGAAGTGTATAACACACTACTATTAGCTATACTCCCCATATTGTACATTAGATCAGTTTGTACCCTTTGATCAACATTTCCCTGCTTCTCCCACACCCCTGCCCCCACCCCCAGCCTACTCTGTTTCCATGAATTCAGCTTTTTGGAGTCCACTTAAGTGATATCATACAGTATTTGTCTTTGTCTGATTTATTTCACTTAGCGTAATGCCCTTAAGTTCTATCCATGTTGTCCCAAATAGCGGGATTTCCTTCCTTTTTGTGGCTGGATATTCCTGTGTGTGCATGCACATTTGTATACACATACACACGCACACAGACACCACATCTTCTTTATCCATTTATCCATCCACAAACACTTAGGTTGTTTCCACATCTTAACTATGGTGAATAATACCCTAACGAACATAGGAGTTCAGATATCTCTTCTGTATCCTCTTTTCATTTCTTTTGGATATATATACACAGAAGTGGGATAGCTAGCTCTTTATATACTTGGATATTAACCTTTTATCAGATACATGATTTGCAAATATTTTCTTGCATTCCTTAGGTTTCCTTTACATTCTGTTGGTGACTTCGTTTAATGTGCTGGAGCTTTTTAGTGTGATGGAGTCCCACATACTAATTTTTGCTTTTGTTGCCTGTGCTTTTAGTGTCTTATTCAAATAACTGTCGCCACACCAATGCCAAGAAGCTTTTCCCCTATGATTTCTTCTATAAGTTTTATGGTTTCAGGTCTTATGTTTAAGTCTTTAATCCCTTTTGAATTATTTTTGAGATGGTGTATAGAGGCCCTATTTCATTCTTCTGTATGTGGTTTTCTG